GATATGCTATTTACACTAAGTGCAAATAGCTATAGATTCTATTTACACTGTTAAAATAGCAGGATTTTATGCTATTTATACTAATTATTGCAAATAGTGGCAATTATCTGCACCTCAGTATTATAGTACATTATAAAACAGTATGCAGTAATAATTAAAATATCGGTTTTACTCTCCCAAAACGCCGGATCCATGTGGACAAAACGCCTATACGATACAAAATATATGCGTATACAGCTAAACGCATCTCTGTGTGGACAGGGCCTTAAAATCATGTTCATGTAACTGGCATTCACTACACACAAAGAACTCCAGCAGCGGTCAGCAAAACACTCACACTCGCCATAATGTGTGCAAACTCCACCTCACTGCAACCTGAAACAAGCAAACAAACAAACATATCAAACACGCATTTTAAGGACTAAACCTATTTATTTTAAAGAACAAACATATTGATGACCACAATAATACTAATGAACAAATACAATAATAATATACATTTTAATATAAATTAATAAAATATAAAAATAAACAAATGTTTTAAACATGATCAAAGTAACGTATTTATTTGTTAATTAAACTAAGGTTTCTCATAGTAGACAAATATTATTTGAGCCAGCGTTTCTATATGTTAAACTGTATTAAACATTATTTTTTTCAATAAAAATATTCATAACAGTCCTTGTTTTCTTGCTTTTAATGACACTCTTCTTAAATTGACAAAAAATAAAATTAACAACACGTTAAATGTCAAAATCTGTAATATGCACATTTATACGTGTACGAATGATCATGGCAGAGGTTGATTATGTTTTTCTTTACAGCATAAATCAGCTTTTAAGCGCCTCAAACCCACACAAACACGCCACTGTTATGATTCACTTTCACTTCAAACACGATTAAAACGCGACTTCACCGTCCACCTGTGATCGCCATACTCTTCTGGTCATAGAGATCTACATGACACGGGTTTAATCGTGACTTGTCGTTATTTTTTAAAGTGTTTTAAAGGTAAAGGACAGCGTGTACTCCACTCACCCTGTTTGTCTCCACAAGGTTCTGCTGATTACGTTCGCACGCCGAACGTCATGACGTCATGACGGAGCGCCGCAGAGCACAAAATGCGCGAAACATCACAAAAAAAAAGAAAAAAATTCATATTTTAAATGTTAACAATCTTATTAAATTATATATACATCTCTTTTTATTAACATTAAACGCATATATAACTAATAACATGTTAAATGTTATAAAAAGTATTGGGGGTAACGTATTACAAGTAACGCGAGTTACGTAATCAGATCCATAAAAAGTAACTAAGTAATGTAATTTGTTACTTTTTTATGGAGTAACGCAATATTGTAATGCATTACTTTTAAAAGTAACTTTCCCCAACACTGGTTATAAACATTATATATTTACAGTATACATCCTATATAAATCATAAATATAAATCTATATTTATTAACATTAAATGCATATTTAAATAATAACAAATATGTATAATTATCATTATAATTATACAAATAGTACATTATTAATAATTAACCATATGAATAATTATTATTTATATATGTATTTAATTAGTAGTCTACATTAATTACTACAATAAACCTGGTATATTTTCTGCTTAAGTTCACAATTGCACTAAACAGAAAATATACCAGGTTTATTATAGTAATTAATGTGGACTACTAGTAGTGGTAGTCCAGTGATAGAAAGTACAATAAAGTATTTTTATTTATTGTTAAATCGTCTTTCCTTTATATTCAGTACATTGAAAAGAAATGATAATTATTATAAATATTATTGTTATTGTCATCATTATTATATTTCATTATCCGTTATTAATTTCTTTTGTCAGTCTTCAGCGGCTATTTTGAAATCGCATTGGTCGATTGCGACACAATCCCGCATGCGTTGACAGGTAGTATCCGCTAGGTGTCAGCAAAAGCAAACGCTTGCTACTCTGCAGCTGTGCCACTTATCTATAATAGAGAATATTATATAGATCAGTGAGCTGTGATAAAAAAAATAAAATAATAATAATTTGAATGGCATTAAGTAATTGCAGACAAAAACAGCAGGAAACAACAACAGATCAAGAGAAAAAGAAAAAGCAGTGGCAGGGTAATAAAAGAGCGGGAAACAGTCATATGAGGTCAAAGTCTCTGCACAGGAAGGTTAGACAGGGCGAATGTGTTTGAAGGCCTAGCGCATCTGAAGACTGACGTGTTCTCACAACCAGGGCCGTTTCTAGCCAATTTGACGCCCTAGGCGTAATCCCTATTGCCCCCCCCCCAAATTATATATATATATATAATTCTTTTCAGACACCAGTTGCTTGTCACATTCAAATTGGTTGTCATAGTAACAACACTAATCGCATTGGCGCCCCTTCAGCTGGTGGCGCCCTAGGCGACCGCCTAGCTCGCCTATGCCTAGAAACGGCCCTGCTCACAACAGAGCTGAAATGGAGTGAGTGAGATTCCCTCTCTCTCTCCATACACTCACAGATATTCACTCTCGCATCTGCATCACTAGCGGCCGCCCGCCATCTGGCATGTGGACGCGGGGATGAACAGGTCAGCAGGTCTTTGCGACGGGTGGGTCGCTCGGGAGCGCGTCGCGTCCTGCAGCATGATCATCGCTTAGCAACTAAAGCCAAGTACACACTAAAGGATTTGCAAGTTAACGAGCTCGCCGACTGGTCGGTCTGTGATCGGGGGAAAATCGGCGGGTGATCAGTGCTTGGCAATCTTTATGTGTGAAGCACACAACAACGCATCAAAGAGGCTCGCTGATGCCACGCCGATGCCAAACAAATATCTAGCATGCCAAATATCTGGACCCGCCGGCCGACTCGACATCATGTGGTGTCAGGTGTTGTGACGAGCTACAGCAAGCAGCAACATGGCTTTAAAAAAGTTTGGACACAAGAAAAGGAGTGAAATGTTTCAGAACAGATCGTCGCGCAAACAGTTTACAGCACTAATTTCTTCCCGATGTCTATTTTCAAATAAACAACTCCTGTTTCACTTGTCGTTTCGAGTCATTCCCGTTCAACTTCTCACGCATGTTTTTGTGACAAAGCGTGGTTTGGGGACCGAATGGAGTCGTTGGGTGACAGAGCTGTTGTCAGCTAGTAGTGTCACATAGTGTGAACACCACAACGACTTCAAGACAGACAGCAAGTCATGCAGTCTGAACAGCACAGCGATCCGCCGACGTTTAAAGTCATGTAGTCTGAACTAGGCTTTACTTACTTACTTATGTGACTAGAAGGGATACGGCTAATTGGCTATGGCCGGAAAATAACAATAAATTAAACATGCTACCTATTAGATTGTGTTTTATTATCCAGTCAAACTAAATGCTGTATGAACTTTAGTTGGGCATAAATTCATGTGGAAGAAATGATGAAATGATAAACAATCCGACATCTAGATTTAAATATATATATTCTAGGGATGGTAAGATTCACCGATTCGCATCTGTGCATCGGCATAAAAGTTAACGATAAGATTCATCGATTTAAAAAAGTGTGCATCAGATACAAGTTGGCATTTGTATCACAATGCATCATTTCTAACATATGTGCATTGTTAAAAAACGATTTATATATAATTATTAGTAGATGTGCTATACTTTTATTATTTAGAAAGTGACCAATAATTTTTGACCGATATTTTATATGTAGATTGATTTCTCCTCTCTAAACTGTTTCTCAAGCACGTTCTCTCATCACTGCTGCTGCTGAGTGAATATGACGTATCACAACACCACGGAGACCCGAGGCGTGTCCTGAGAGCCACAGAGAATATAGATTAACATGGCAGATGTAGAGCTGCATCTTCCACCAAATAATTACAATGAACCAAAGAAATAAAAGGGAACTATCTGTACCATATTGAATTGTATAGCATCATATTTTTTTCCATTGCATCGTATTGCATTGAATCGCATTGTGTCGAATCGAATCGAAATCAGATCGCACCACATCATAATAGGGGTGAATCATATCGCATTGCATCGATAGCTGCTTCATATGTATCTTTAATGTATCATATCATTGGCTATATTATCATAATTATATAATTGTTTTTATTTTAGTAGTTAGTTATTCTTAAGAAAATGTGGGTGCAAAACCTACAACACAATAAGCTGGTAATGGTTGCAAGGACGTTGCTGCGTGGTTTCTAAGGTGTTCTGGTTGCAAGCAAGATGACTTAAAAACTTCAGGGAATACTTTTGAACCCAATGATTCAATGAATTATTCGTTAAAACGAACAAACTGATTCACCAAAATGAACCTGGAATGCCAACTTCATCCGTGGGCTACTTTTTTTCCAACAAAAAGCAACAGTAAGAAATTATTACAAAAGATATACCTAGGCCAGATATTTCAGAGCAAACAATATGAGTGATATAAACAGGAGTGTGTGGAAGAATCCTAATTCAAAGCTGTCACCTGCTGTGCTCAAGTCTCAGAAAATGCGACATGGGAGCCGCGCTAGTTCAAATCCGAATCGTGTTCAGAATCTTAATTACTTGGCATTTGTCTGCAGCAGATATTAAACTGAATATGATTACATCTTCCTTCTCATCATGCTAGAAACTGGAGTCCGAAGGACAATTTTAAGCTATAGGACACAGTATGGAAAACAAATAACGGATTGCGCTGCTTCTGAGTGCATTTCTGCCGAAAAAAAGGAGTAGGAGATAAGGAGCAAATTCCTCCTTCTTTGTCCATTCCCGTAATGGCCACGTAATCAAAATCAAAACAATGCTTGATGGATAACATTATAAATGCTTGCATTTTCCACCACAATTATCGCGTTTTATGCAAAAATGTCATATAACAGTAGTAAAATGGGCATTTAGCTTGTCCATTTCCAAACCCGATGGATAACATTAAAATGCCCACATTCTCCACCACCATTATCCAGTTTTATGCAAAAAAGTCACATTACAGTAGTAAAATGGGCGTTTAGCATGTCCATTTCCAGACTGGAGCATGTATTGAGGTTAATCTAATAGTTTAGACTTCAAATTCCTCATATTTCTGGTGCGCAGCAGACAGACTCATACGTTATGAGTCAGAACTGGGCCTTTTATTGCTGCGCTGTCAAGCTCAGAGAGCCCCAGTGCCAAGAATCAGCACTTTTCCAGGGCCGTTTCATTTCTCGTCCTCCCTCCCTTTTTCTCTCAGGAGAGATGGTTGGAGCCTCATTAACTCGCCTGATTTGATTTTGCAGCCCTCTGAGGAGCGCAATAGTCGCTCACTGAGAGAACCGACTGCATCTGTCGCCGGAAAACTCACAAGCGCCACGGAGCTGCTGGGGAGCTGTCGGGACAAGCCTGATGTTGGTTTCACAAGGCTGAAAAACCAACTTTCCATGTCATTACACGTAAAGGCGCAATTGTAATTCCTATTCGCCCCATGCAAGTAAAAGTGTAACCGCAGCGGGTCTTTGAACCAAAGCTGACTGACAGGAAACGAGTCTTTACTATAATCTTCCCCTCAGCAACATGTGCTTCACTGATGAAAGGATGAAAAGAAAAAGAGCCAGATTCCACACACTGACTTGTTTAACCCTTGACAAGAAACTCTTGTGCTCTCGGGGAGATTTAGAAAGTGTATGGTGTGAGGTGCGTAGAGCTGGCTGAAGGTTTGCAGCTGATGAAAGTTAATGTTTTGCAATCTGATCACCTCTGGACTGAAATATGCAGCCATCTGTTTAAGCTGGGCCACTAGAATGCCATGAGTTCTTGGAGTTCAAGTTTGACATTCTTTCAATATCAATAAATTATCGGATGACATTGGCTTAAAAAACAACATTTTTGGATTTAACGCTAAAATTATTCTGCCAAAAGTGCTGAAACTCTTGAAACTCTTCTGGATCCGAAAAAATTGCATACTTTTTAATGATTTATTGTAGTCTTTTAGATCAAATATTAATCAGTTTTTTTTTTCATTTTAAACATTAACATTTTTATACAAACATAAAATTCATAATGTGCATTT